GGAACAGGTGGTTTTTAGTTACATGGGTAAGTTCTTTAGTGCTAAGTTCTGAGACTTTTGGTGCCCATCACCTGAGCAGTGTACACTGTATTCAATGTGTAGTCTTTATCTCTCACCCCACTCCCACACTTGCTCCTGAGCTCCTGAAATCCATTATATCATTCTTATGCCTTTGTGTCCTCATAAGTTAGCTCTTACTCATATGTGAGAGCCTATGATATTTGGTTTTTCATTCCTGAATTACTTCACTTAGGATAATGGTTTCCAACTCCACCCAGGTTACTATGAATGCCATTATTTCATTCATTTTTATGGCTGAGTAGTATTTTATGGTATATATATACTGCATTCTCTTTATTAACTCATTGGTTGATAGGCATTTAGGTTGGTTCCATATTTTTCTGTGATTGCAAATTCTGCAGCTATAAGCATGCATGTTCATGTGTCTTTTTCGTATAATGACTTCTTTTCTTCTGAGTAGATACCCAATGGTGGGATTGCTGGATCAAATGGTAGTTCTACTTTTAGTTCTTTAAGAAATATCTATACTGTTTTCCATAGGGGTTGTACTAGTTTATATTCCCACCAGCAGTGTAAAAGTGTTCGCTTTTCACCACATTCATGCCAACATCTATTATTTTTTGATTTTTAAGTTATGGCCATTCTTACGGGAGAAGGTGGTATCTCATTGTGGTTTGAATTTGCATTTTCTTGAATATTAGTCATGTTGAACATTTTTTTCATGTTCATTGGCCATTTGTATATCTCCTTTTGGGAATTGTCTCTTCATGTCCTTTGCCCACTTTTGGATAGGATTACTTGTCTTTGATCCATCTTGAGTTGATTTTTGTATAAAGTGAGAGATCCAGTTTCATTCTTGTACATGTGGATGCCAATTATCCCAGTACCATTTGTTAAATAGGATGTCCTTTCCCTACCTTAAATTTTTGTTTGCTTTCTTGAAGGTCAAATACCTTGTCAAATTATTCAGCTTTATTTCTGGGTTCTCTATTCTGTTCCATTTGTCTACATGCCTATTTTAATGCCAGTACTCTGCTGTTTTGGTCACTATAGTCTTGTGTAGTTTGAAGTCAGATAATGTGATGCCTCCTTTTTAAACTTTCTTTGATGGCGTCCTTTATAGTGCATAAGTTTTTACTTTGGATAAAGTTCAATATGTCTATTTTTTGTTTTGTTGCTAGTGTTTTTGGTGTTATATTTAAGAAACCATTTTCTACCTTTCCACAGTGTAGACATACATCAAAACATCATGTTTTAATCATAAACATTTATAATTTTTATTTGTCAGTTAAAAAATAATTTTAAAAACATTGTCTAATCTGAAGTCACTGAGATTTAAACGTATTTCTCTCTTCATAGAGTTTTGTAGCTTTGGCTTTTATATTTAAATGTATGATCCATTTTGAGTTAATTTTTGTATATGTTATAAGTAAGGTATTTAACTTGATTCTTTTGCATATGGATATAGAGTTGCCACCATTTTCTGAAAGCACTAGTTTTCCTCAACAAATTTTCTTGGCACTCTTTTCAAACACAATGGACTGAAAATGTGAGGATTTATTTCTGGAATTTCATTTCTGTTTCATTAATCTATGTCTATCCTTATGCCAGTACCTTATTTTTTTGATTACTGTAGGTTTGTATAAGTTTTGTAATAGAAAAATGTAAGTTATCTAACTGTTCTCTTTCAAGATTGTTTTGTTATTATGAGTATCTTGGATATCTATATAAATTTTAGTATTAGTTTGTCACTTTTTGCAAAAACCCAGCTAGGATTTTGACAGAGATTGCATTGATTTTTAATATCAATTTGGAGAGTATTGCTATGTTAACAATGTTAAGTCTTTTAATCTATAGATATCTGGGGTGACTTTTATTTAGGTCATCTTTAATTTTTTAAAATAATATTTTGTAGTTTTCAGAGTACAAGTTTTACACTTCTGTTCATTTTATTCCTATGTATTTTATTCCTTTGGATTCTATTTATTGTAAATAGGGTTCTTTATTTTATTTTGGATAGTTTATTGTTATTATGTAGAAATACAATTGACTTTTTATATTTTGAAAATTTCACTTTTATTCTAAGTTCTCATAAAGCATTTATTATAGTGTAATGGTGAAGCACTGGATTTATAATTCTGATTTTGCCACATGATGAATCAAGAAGTTTATCTTCATAAAAACACTTTGAAGCAGTGACTTCAACTTCAGTGTTTCTATATATCTGACAACAATTAATGTCATATTTCCTCTTTTTGCATTGATCATGCAATGATATAAAGTACCCTATGCCCTTATCAATAAGCAATATCCTTGGTCAATGAATGAAGATGTGAACAATTTTTAAAATTCTTTCCATATAGTTTCTTTTTTACTCTGCTGGAGTACAGTGGTGTGATCATGGCTCACTGGAGCCTCAACCTCCCATGCTGAAGTGATCCACCCATCCCAGCCTCCCGACTAGCTGGGATTACAGGCATGCACCACCATGCCCAGCTATATATATATATGTGTGTGTGTGGATGGATAGATAGATAGACAGATAGATAGATAGATTGATTGATTGATTTTAATAGAGACAAGGTCTCACTATAATGCCCAGGCTGATAGTGAACTCCTGGGGTCAAGTGATCCTCCTATCTCGACCTCCGAAAGAGCTGGGATTACAGGTGTAAGCCACTGCACCCAGCCCATTTTCCATATAGTTTCAAAGCAATTATCAGGCATGGTTCTAACAAGAAATGGATTTAACAGACATGCTTGAAATAGATTCACTTGAAGAGCAGTTGAACAAATATGGTGTGAAATAAAAACTTAGAGTGGGGAAAAGTACTCATTATAAATCAGGAGCAGTGGAAATCTATACAGTAATTGGTTGCCAGTAGCTCCAATTATTTTGAAAGATCTCACAATTGACTTTTTTTTTTTTTTTTTTGAGATGGGGTCTTATTCTGTTGTCCAGCGTGGGGTGCAGCAGCATAATCATGGCTCACTGCAGCTTTAACCTCCTAGGCTCAAGTAATCCTTCTGCTGTAGCCTCCTGAGTAGCTGGGACCGCAGGTGTGCACCATCATGCCTGGTGAATTTTTCAATTTTTTTTGTAGAGATAATGTCTTGTAATATTGCCCAGGCTGGTTTTGAACTCCTGGACTCAAGCACTACTCCTGCTTTGGCCTCCCAAAGTGCTGATATTACAGACATGGGCCACTGTGCCTAGCCCACAATTGACTTTTTTATATTAATTTTGTAACCGTAGCTTGCAGAGCTCCTTTATTAGTTCTAATAATTTTTTAGTGTATTTCTTAGGATTGCATTTATACAAAATTATGTTCCCTGCAGATAGTTTTAGTTCATTCTTTCATGTGTCTTCTTTCTTTCTTTCTTTCTTTCTTTCTTTCCTTCTTTCTTTCTTTCTTTCTTCTTTCTTTCTTTCTTTCTTTCTTTCTTTCTTTCTTTCTTTCTTTCTTTCTTTCTTTCTTTCTTTCTTTTTTTCCTGTCTAATTGCTCTGGATAGGTTAGAACCTTCAGTGCAATATGGAATAGAGGTGGCTAAAGTGGACATACTTTCTTGGTTCCTAACCTTAGAAGGAAAACACTGATTCTTTCACTAATTGGTATGATGCTAGTGGTAGTTCTTTTTATATATGACATTTATTAGATGTATAAGGCAGGAACAGAAAGTTTAAAGAATTATATTGTGAACACTCATTCATATGTATATTCTTACCACTAATATTTGACAGTTATCATTTTGCTATATTCACTTATCATGTTTCTATCCATCCATCTGTCCACTCATCTGTCTATATTATTTTGTGGATGCATTTTCAAGTTGCAGATGTCAGTATACTTTACCTTTTAACACTGCAGTATACATAACATTAAATAGATTTTAATATTGTTTATAGTAATTTCTTAACATTTTTGAGGTATAATTTACATGCAGAGAATCACAAATCTATTGTACCATTTTATGAGTTTTAAATAATGTATATGCTTGTGTAATCCAAACTGCTGTGAAAATACAGAATATTACATCTTTACTCAAATAAGTTTCTTCATAATCCTTCCCAATAAATAACTCCTCAAGACAACTACTGTTCTGATTTTATAAATATTTTTGTGTATGGCTTCTTAGCATAGTGCTTTTGAGAATCATCTGTGTTTTTACATCTATCAGTAGTTTGGATCTTTTAATTGTTGAGTAATATTCCATTGTATGATGATGTAACATCACAGTTTGTTTTTTTGATTCTCTTGTTGATGGATAACTGAGCTATTTCCAGATTTTTACTGTTTTGAATACAGCTGCTACGGTCTTACTTATACAAGTCATTTTATGAACATATGCTTTTAATTTTTCTAAGTGTATACATAGTAGTGAAATTGCTAGATTGTAAGATGGATGTATGGTTAGTTTTTTTTCTTTTCTTTTCTTTTTTTTTTTTGTGTGTGTGTTTTTGAGATGGAGTTTCACTCTTGTTGCCCAGGCTGGAGTGCAATGGTGCAATCTCAGCTCACTGCAACCTCCACCTCCTGGGTTCCAGTGATTCTCCTGCCTCAGCCTCCTGAGTAGCTGGGATTACAGGTGCATGCCACCGTGCCTCGCTAATTTTGTACTTTTAGTTGAGATGGGTTTCTCCATGTTGGTCAGGCTGGTCTCAAACTCCTGACCTCAGGTGATCTGCCCACCTTGGCCTTCCAAAGTACTGGGATTACAGGCGTGAGCCACTGTGTCTGAATATATGTTTAGATTTATAAGAAACTGCAAGACATTTTGAGAAAGTGTTTGTATCATTTTACATTCCCATCAACAATGTATGAGTTAATGTTACTCTATATCCATGTTAATGTTTGGTAGTACCTTTTTCCATTTAAACTAATTTTAGACATTCTGGTGGCTGTATAGTGGTATCTTATGATTTTAATTTTAATTTTATTTCCCCGAAGACTTATTTGTATTATTTGCTCTCTTTCAGACAGTTCGGCATGGTTTTCCTCATCAGCCCACAGCATTAGCCTTTGATCCAGTTCAGAAAATCTTGGCTATTGGGACAAGAACAGGTGCTATACGAATGTATCCTTAATTTTTGGTTCATTATTTGCTACATTAATGCCAATTGCATTTCTTTAAATATTAAGGTAAGAGAAATATTTATGACCAAGTAAATTTTTTTATTTTTTTAAGAAATGAGTAACTAATTGTGAAAAATCTACATTTTCAAATTTATTGGCATATTTTTAATGTCTTTGAAATCAGTACTGATGTCTCTTCTTTAACTCCTGTTACTGGTAATTTGTATCTTGTCTTTTTTCCTTATCTGTTTGCTTAGAAGATTATCAATTGTATTGATTCTCACGAAGAATCAATTTTTGGTTGCATTCTTCTTTTTTATTGTGTTTCTATATTTGATTTCATTGAATACTGCTTCAATCATTTAAATTTCTTTGTTTTTGCTTATCTTAGGTTTAACTTGATTTTCTTTCTTTAGTTTTTAAAGTGGAAACAGGTAATTAATTTGAGAACTTTCTTCTTTTCTAATATGTGCCCATAGTACTATAAATTTCTTCCCGAATTTTACTTTAGTGTCATCCTATTTTTTAAAATTAAACTTTTTATTTTGAGATAATTGTAGATGCACATGTAGTTATAAGAAATAATACAGAGATATCCATATTCTTTCACCTACTTTGCTCCAATTGTGATATCTTATAAAACTATAGTATAATATTACAGTCAGGATATTGACATTATACTGTAAAGATATAAAACATTCCTATCACCACCAGGATTCTTCAGATTGCTCTTTTATAGTCACAACTTGTCCCTCTAACACCATCCCTGGCCCCTAACAATAACTAATTTGTTTTTCATTTCAATAATTTTGCCACTTTAAAAGTGTTATATAAATGGAATAACAGAGTTTATAATCTTTGGTGATTGACCATTTTCACTCAGTGTAGCTCTCTGAAGATTCATTCATGTTGTTGCATATATCAGTAGTTCATTTTTTAAATATTGAGTTGGATAATATTCCATGGTATAGATGTACCACAGTGTAGTCATTCACCTATTCAAGGAAATTTTGACTTGTTTCTGGTTTTTGGCTATTTTTACTAAACATCTATGATCATCCATGTACATATTTTTGTGTGAACCTAAGTTTTTATTTCTCTGGTATAAATGCCCAGGAGTACAACTGAAGAGTCATGTGGTAATTAGATATTTTAGTTTTAATTCTTTTAGTGTGCCATTTGGTGTTATTAAATAAATTTATATTATTATACAGCCATCAACACCATCCTTTTCTGTAACTCTTTCACGTTGTAAAACTGAAGCTCTGCACCCATTAAATGATAATGCTCTATAGCACTCTTCCTTTAGTCCCTGAAACCTCAATTCTGCTTCCTGTTTCTGTCATTTTCACTACTCTAGGTAACTTACATAAGGGAAAGTATACAGTATTTTTCTTTTTTGTGATTCGCTTATTTTATTCAGCATAATGTTCTTAACATTTATGCATGTTGTAGCATATGTGAGAACTTCCTTCCTTTTTAAGACTAAATAATATTTCATTGTATGTATATACCACATTTTTATATCTGTTCATCAATTGATGGACACTTGGGTTTTTTTCCATGTTTTACCTAGGGGTTTTTTCCATGTTTTACCTATTATGAATAATATTGCTATGAACGTGGGTGTACAAATATCTCTTTGAGACCTTGCTTCTAGTTCTTTCGGGGATATATCCAGAAGAATTATTGCTGGATCATATGATAATTGTATTTTTAATTGTTTGAGGAACTGTCATTCTGTTTCCTATAGCAGCTCTACTACTTTACATTTTCACCAATAGTAATTGCCTTTTGATGTAAAAATGTTAAATTTTAATGAAGTTCATGTTGGCTATTTTTTTCTTTTGTTGCCAGAAATCTTCACCAAATGGAATGAATCTTCTACCCTGTTTTCTTCTAAGAGTTTTATAGTTTTAGGTTTTACATTTAGGTCTTTCATCCATTTTTGCATTAATTTTTGTATATGATAAAAGGGTCTAATTTCATTATTTGGCATGTGGATATCCCATTTTCCCAGCGCCATTTGTTGACAAGACTCTTTTCTCCATTGAATGGTCCTGGGACCCTTGTTAAAAATTATTTGATCATGCATGTTAGGGTTTGTTTGTGGGCTATTTTATTCTACTGATCTATAGTTCTGTTTTTATGTTACTACTATACTGTTTTTATTTACTGTAACTTTGTAAATTGGAAACCAGATTGTGTGAAATTTCAAATTAGATGATTTTTCAATATTTATTAAAATAGTCAGATAGCTTTTGTTCTTGATTATGTTACTGTGATATATCATGTTTATTGATTTGCATATGTTGAGCCATTCATGAATTCCTGAGATGAATCCCACCTGATGATGGTAAATGAGTTTTTTAAAATATGCTGTCTTGTAGAAATTGTTTTGTGAGTGTTTTGTTGAGGATTTTTGCATCTAGGTTTATCAGAGATATTGGCTTTCAATGTTCTTTTTTGTTTTGTCTTTGTTGGTTTTGGTATTAGGATAATGCCGGACTCATAGAATGAATTTGAAAGTATTCCCTGCTTTTCAGTTTTTTTTTTTTTTAAGAGTTTGAGCAGAGCTGGTATTATTTCTTTAAATGTTTGGTAGAATTCAGCCATGATACTATCAGGTCCTGGGTTCTTTTTTGGTGAAATATGTATGTATGTATGTATATATATATATATTTTAAATTACTGCTTAAATCTTGTTACTCATTATTGGTCTGTTCAGTGTTTCTATTTCTTCATATTTCAACCTTGGTAAGTCGTATGTGTCTAGAAATTTGTCCATTTCTTTGAAGTTTTTAAATTTGTTGGTGTATAGTTCCTAATAGTTTCTAATGAGGCTTTGTATTTCTGTGGTATAAGATACAACATCCTTTTTAGTCTTTGATTTTATTTAGGTTTTCTCTCTTTTGTTCTTATTCTAGCTAAAGGTTTTCAATTTTGTTTACTTTTTCAAAAAATCAACTTTCATTTTGTTGATATTTGGTATTTTTTTAGTCTCAATTTTATATCTTTATACTCAAATCTTTTTATTTCTTTTCTTCTTCTAATTTTGGGTTTGAATTGTTCTTGCTTTTCTTGTTATGTTGTTCATTTGAAGTCATTCCAGTTTTTATGATCATGGCTTTTTATTGCTATAAATAACTTTTTTCTTAAAACTTCTTTTGCTGTATTTCATAGGTTTTAGTATGTGGTGTTTCGATTTTAATTTGTCTCAAGAAATTTTTCAATTTTCTTTTAAATTTCTTCATTAAACCATTATTTAAGAATAATGTTGCTTAATTATTATGAATTTGTACAGTTTCTGATGTTCCTTCTGTGGTTTATTTCTAGTTTTATCCCATTATGGTCAGAAAAGTTATTAATATGATTTTGACTTCTAAAATTTTATTGAGACTTGTTTTGTGACTTAACATATGGTCTGTCCCAGAGAATATTGCATGCGCTGTTGAGGAAAATGTGTATTCTGCAGCTATTGGATGTAATGTTCTATAAATGTCTGTTTGGTCCATTGGTCTAGAGCGCAGTTTAACACTGACGTTTCTTAGTTGATTTTCTGTTCAGATGATCTGTCTGTTGCTGAAAGTGGAGTGCTGAAATTTTCTACTACTATTGTGGCACAGTCAATTTCTCTCTTTAGGTCTCTTAATATTTGCATTATATATTTGGTTGCTCTGGTGTTCAGCACATATATATTTACAATTGTAATATCCTGTTGTTGTATTAACCCCTTTATCATCATATAATGTCCTTCTGTATTCTTTTTTTTCTTGACTAAAGCTTATTTTATCTGATATAAGTATAGCTACTCCTGTTCTCTGTTGGCTTCCATTTGCATGTAATATCTTATTCATCCCTTCACTTTCAGTTTGTGCATGTCTGTACAAGTAAATTGAATTTCTTGTAGACAGCATACAGTTGGGTCTTTTGAAAATCCATTCAGCCACTTTTTCTTTATTTTTATTTTTATTTTTTATTTATTTTATTTTATTTTATTTTTTTTTTGAGACGGAGTTTCGCTCTTGTTACCCAGGCTGGAGTGCAATGGCGCGATCTCAGCTCACCGCAACCTCTGCCTCCTGGGCTCAGGCAATTCTGCCTCAGCCTCCTAAGTAGCTGGGATTACAGGCACGAGCCACCACGCCCAGCTAGTTTTTTGTATTTTTAGTAGAGACGAGGTTTCACCATGTTGACCAGGATGGTCTCGATCTCTTGACCTCGTGATCCACCCGCCTCAGCCTCCCAAAGTGCTGGGATTACAGGCTTGAGCCACCGCGCCTGGCCTATTTTTATTTTTAAAATAAATTTCAATTGCTTTGGGGGTACAATTTGTTTCTGGTTACATAGAGTGATGTATGAGTTTTAAATTTTAAGAAAAAAGTTATTTAGTGATGATTCTGATATTTTAGTACACCTGTTACCTGAGCATTATATACTATACCCAATATATAGTCTTTTATCCCTCCCCACTTTGAGTCTCCAAGGTCCATTATCTCATTGTTATGCCTTTGCATCCTCATAGCTGAGCTCTTACTCAAAACAGAAGACATTTGATTTTTCATTCCTGAGTTAGTTCAATTGGAATAATGGCCTTCAGCGCCATCTAAATTTCTGCAAAAGATATTATGTCATTCCTTTTTTATGGCTGAGTAGTATTCTATGGTGTATATATACCATTTTTTCTGTATCTACTTCTTGGTTGATGAGCACTTAGGTTGGTTCCACATCTTTGTAATTGTGAATTGTGCCTGTATAAACATGTGTGCATATGTCTTTTTCATATAATGATTTATTATTATTATTATTTTTGGGTAGATAGTAGTGGGATTGCTGGATCAAATGGTAGTTTTACTGGTAGTTTTTCAGGAACGTCTATACTGTTTTCCATAGTGGTTGTTCTAATTTGCATTCCCTTCAGCAGTATAAAAGTGTTCCCTTTTTACCACATCCATGCCAACATCTATTTTTTTAAACTTTTAAATTATGGCCATGCTTGCA